CACACTTCCCTATGTACACTCAAGACAAATCTTCCGTCTCCTTAATTAACACACACATTCATGAGTGGATTAAAGCCACATTTCTCACCACTTATGTACGACCAGAAAACTGCAAATCCACTAAAGGAAAGATTATGTTAGTTACACTTCCTCTTAACTCACTCCTCACAGCACGTCTCATTGTAGCCTTGGATCACTCATGCCTGACCGACCTGCACAAAATAATTATAAGACTTGAATATTTTATAACTGTAAATTAGCTCTCCTTAAAATACTTTATCATTTAGAGTTAAAATATTACTTATGAACTTGGCGAGTGTGAGGACGCGCAGATTAACGTGTCGACCGCACATTAGAAGTGACGGGGAACTGGTGTAGATATGATCAGTTTAATAAAGTTTTTAGCATGTTACTTTTGGAGAGGCTGCGGAGTGATTCTTGCAGGTGTCTGCTGGAGAGTGGTCATGGTACCCTCCACACGACCATTGGTACCCACTACACGACCATTGGTACCCACTACACGACCATTGGTACCCGCCACACGACCATTGGTACCCTCCACACGACCATTGGTACCCACTACACGACCATTGGTACCCACTACACGACCATTGGTACCCACTACACGACCATTGCCACTACACGACCATTGGTACCCACTACACGACCATTGGTACCCACTACACGACCATTGGTACCCACTACACGACCATTGGTACCCGCCACACGACCATTGGTACCCTCCACACGACCATTGGTACCCACTACACGACCATTGGTACCCACTACACGACCATGGTACCCGCCACACGACCATGGTACCCGCCACACGACCATGGTACCCGCCACACGACCATGGTACCCGCCACACGACCATGGTACCCACTACACGACCATGGTACCGCCACACGACCATTGGTACCCTCCACACGACCATTGGTACCCGCCACACGACCATTGGTACCCTCCACACGACCATTGGTACCCACTACACGACCATTGGTACCCGCCACACGACCATTGGTACCCGCCACACGACCATTGGTACCCACTACACGACCATTGGTACCCGCCACACGACCATTGGTACCCTCCACACGACCATTGGTACCCACTACACGACCATTGGTACCCACTACACGACCATTGGTACCCACTACACGACCATTGGTACCCACTACACGACCATTGGTACCCACTACACGACCATTGGTACCCACTACACGACCATTGGTACCCACTACACGACCATTGGTACCCTCCACACGACCATTGGTACCCACTACACGACCATGGTACCCGCCACACGACCATTGGTACCCGCCACACGACCATTGGTACCCTCCACACGACCATTGGTACCCTCCACACGACCATTGGTACCCTCCACACGACCATTGGTACCCACTACACGACCATGGTACCCGCCACACGACCATTGGTACCCACTACACGACCATGGTACCCGCCACACGACCATGGTACCCGCCACACGACCATTGGTACCCACTACACGACCATGGTACCCGCCACACGACCATGGTACCCGCCACACGACCATTGGTACCCACTACACGACCATTGGTACCCGCCACACGACCATTGGTACCCTCCACACGACCATTGGTACCCGCCACACGACCATTGGTACCCTCCACACGACCATTGGTACCCGCCACACGACCATTGGTACCCACTACACGACCATGGTACCCGCCACACGACCATTGGTACCCGCCACACGACCATTGGTACCCTCCACACGACCATTGGTACCCTCCACACGACCATTGGTACCCTCCACACGACCATTGGTACCCACTACACGACCATGGTACCCGCCACACGACCATTGGTACCCACTACACGACCATTGGTACCCGCCACACGACCATGGTACCCGCCACACGACCATTGGTACCCGCCACACGACCATGGTACCCGCCACACGACCATGGTACCCGCCACACGACCATTGGTACCCTCCACACGACCATTGGTACCCACTACACGACCATTGGTACCCACTACACGACCATTGGTACCCGCCACACGACCATGGTACCCACCACACGACCATTGGTACCCTCCACACGACCATTGGTACCCGCCACACGACCATTGGTACCCTCCACACGACCATTGGTACCCACTACACGACCATTGGTACCCGCCACACGACCATGGTACCCGCCACACGACCATTGGTACCCACTACACGACCATTGGTACCGCCACACGACCATTGGTACCCACTACACGACCATTGGTACCCTCCACACGACCATTGGTACCCGCCACACGACCATGGTACCCGCCACACGACCATTGGTACCCGCCACACGACCATGGTACCCGCCACACGACCATTGGTACCCTCCACACGACCATGGTACCCGCCACACGACCATTGGTACCCTCCACACGACCATTGGTACCCGCCACACGACCATTGGTACCCTCCACACGACCATTGGTACCCGCCACACGACCATTGGTACCCTCCACACGACCATGGTACCCGCCACACGACCATTGGTACCCGCCACACGACCATGGTACCCGCCACACGACCATTGGTACCCTCCACACGACCATTGGTACCCTCCACACGACCATTGGTACCCGCCACACGACCATTGGTACCCGCCACACGACCATTGGTACCCGCCACACGACCATTGGTACCCTCCACACGACCATTGGTACCCTCCACACGACCATTGGTACCCGCCACACGACCATTGGTACCCGCCACACGACCATTGGTACCCTCCACACGACCATTGGTACCCTCCACACGACCATTGGTACCCGCCACACGACCATTGGTACCCGCCACACGACCATTGGTACCCGCCACACGACCATTGGTATGGTTGTTTCTGACAAGAAACTATTTGACGAAGCTCGTTCTTTATTTGTTAAAATCGAATATATTGTTATGCTGGGCAATATTAGATTTTGTTAAGTTACTTTTATTTGTTATGTTAGTTATATTTATTTATATACAAGAAGGTACATGGATTGATGAGAGTACATAGCATTGATGATGTCTTGATGATGTCTTGATGATGATGTCTTGATGATTTATATACAAGAAGGTACATGGATTGATGAGAGTACATAGCATTGATGATGATGTCTTGATGATGATGTCTTGATGATTTATATACAAGAAGGTACATGGATTGATGAGAGTACATAGCATTGATGATGTACAGTCTTGCATAGCCACTAGCATGTATAGCGTTTCGGGCAGGTCCTTAATCTTAATTTTCCCTGGAATACGACTCGCTGAATCGTTAAACAAGCAGGTACCCATTCACTGCTGGGTGAATAGAGGCGTGCAGTTAAGGATTGGAGCCTAGTCAATCCTGCCTGGGCCAGGGTACGAACCCAAGCCAAATCGCTCGCGAAGCGCGGGGAGAGGGTCTTATCACTGCGCCACGGGGATAGCTGCTTTAGGTTGAAATTGAAATAACTGCTTTGGATTGGTTTGGGTTAGGTTACGTTGGTTTCAAAATCCGTTGGCGAATCGTCCTGCGTAGGATGTGCTACCTTGAGGCTACCTTGAGGTGCTTCCGGGGCTTAGTGTCCCCGCGGCCCGGTCGTCGACCAGGCCTCCTGGTTGCTGGACTGACTATTTGACGAATTTTGCTTAGTATTCCCTCACACCACTTTGGTCACCCACCACCTTAAGGTTCTTGAGATGATTTCGGGGCTTTAGTGTCCCCGCGGCCCGGTCCTCGGCCAGGCCTCCACCCCCAGGAAGCAGCCCGTGACAGCTGACTAACACCCAGGTACCTATTTTACTGCTAGGTAACAGGGGGCAGAGGGTGAAAGAAACTCTGCCCATTGTTTCTCGCCGGCGCCCGAGATCGAACCCGGGACCACAGGATCAAAAGTCCTGTGTGCAGGACCATAGTGGCATCGTTGCTTCACCCTATTGACTTGTTATTTTCAAACAACAATTATTATTATTATTATTTTACGTTATTAAAGTAACTTGGAAATTTGCACATTGGAACTGCACAAAAAATGAATTTACAGTGAAAAAAGAAATTGTGGTTACTAGTGAGAAATGGGCCGTAATGTTTGATAAAGTGAGCCAGCATCACGGCGTGTTGTGGCCAAGTGTGGCCAATATTATGGCCCCGAGGAGGGTGTTGTTGAGTGTGGTGTGACACAAGGTGATGGGTGTTGCTGGCTGTTTACACTAGTCCGCCCTAAACACGGCCCGCGACACGCCTCGCGTCCTCATAAGTCGCACCCGCTCTCTCTCTACTTCCATGGCTTTTATTTTGACTTGAATTGATCTACTGTATCTTCTCAGCTTCAGTAACATGTAGTTGAACGTATCTCGTATTATATAGAATTTTTGCTGAAGAATTTAGTTTGAAACTGGTACAAGGAGAGGTGAACGCGAATATTATCCCCCAGCCAACAGTCTGTAGCCTCTGCTCCAGCGCTAACAATTCTTCAAACTTTACAGACGTTTTTCTAAACATGTCTCCCACAACGGCACAATCTTGACGGCACAACGTTGTTGTTTTGAGTTCGAGAACCATGACTCACTGTATTATACTGTACTTGTTTACATCTCTGTTTTAAAATTATGAGTTTTTTTTTTCCCTTAATTTTGCCCCGGCGGGCTAGTTTATTGGGCCCTTATTAAATTTATGCCAAAAAAATGTAAATATGATTTAGACTGCTATACTTGTTTAGTCCAGTCTTTATTTAATGATTCACTTAAGTTGCTACGAATAAAATTTGCAATTCTGACTGCTCCATCGAAAGCCATTTTCAATTCAAGGACTGAAAGATGTATATTTAAGAGGACGTGTGCGATACTGGCTCGAACAGTAACTTTAAACTACCGGAGAAACCAATTCTAGTAGACTGGTTAATGCTATTATGCTGAGGATAATGCATTGCAGATGAGTTGTTCAGATATGTCCGAGCAAGGGCCACCAAGCGCAACACACACACACACACACACACACACACACACATACACATACACATACACATACACATACACACACACATACACACACACACACACACACACACACACACACACACACACACACACACACACACACACACACACACACACACACACACACACACACACACACACACACACACACACACACACACACACACACACACACACACACACACACACACACACACACACACATACACATACACACACACACACACACACACACACACACACACACACACACACACTACACACACACACCATTGTTCGCCACTCCAAATTGGGAGTAATCTCCTCTTCAGTTGTGAGGTGTTGTGAGGCTAATGTTTCCTTCATTAACGAGGTGGTAGTTAAGGGACGCAATCTGTGTTCTGGCTCGTTAATGACGTTACCAGCTTGAGGCTTCGAGGATCATAAAGGCCGCAATCTTATTTGTTGTCCGCCATCAATTATAAACAGTTAAGGATTAGTAGTCTTGAAGTATATACACTGAGTAATGTACCTTGTGGTTCATATCTTCCTGCGTCGTTGGTTACGGTGATAGGTGTGTGGGGGCGCCCTCTGGCCGGCCCTCTCATACTCAACAATCACCTCACCTATTTTCCTGTTTAGTGATTTCTGGTTGTGGTATTGGACTTAATCACCCTCTGGAGGGTTATTAACGCCACCACAACAGCTTACTGACTAACCAGCAAGTATAGTTTGGTCCTCAACATAACCCAGGACTACAGTAAACTCCGGATAATTTACCTGAAATCCTTGCACTGTATTCACATTTCGCTTCCAGTAAATGAACGACAAATGAGATTCAGAAACAAGTAGTGTATTGTGAGGGCTAATAATAAACAGAAGCTCCCCTATGACTGTAATATCCCCATTGGTCAAACTATTATGTATTAGGGATAAGACCTACCATTAATGTATGATAACTTACTGTAAATATGTAACTCTTCAAATAACACTTACTCTGTAACTAGCTGACATTGTAACTATAAGGTGTGAAGGATAGATGAAATTGTTTATGAAATAATCTAAGATAAGGTCTGATAAAGACCTTTTGTACCCTCTGTAATGCTTTTGCGCTACCGCTCACAGGATGAGTATGGGGTGCACAATAAACTAGCCGCCTTCGGCGGCAACAATCAAATCAAAATCAATCCGAGAGTTTGTGTATATTCACCTAGTTGTGCTTGCGGGGGTTGAGCTCTGCTCTTTCGGCCCGCCTCTCAACTGTCAATCAACTGTTACTATTACTATTTTTTCCCCCACACCACACACCTCCCATGAAGCAGCCCGTGACAGCTGACTAACTCCAAGGTACCTATTTACTGGTAGGTAACAGGGGCATCAGGGGAAAAGAAACTCTGCCCGTTGTTTCTCGTGGCGCCCGAGATCGAACCCGGGACCACAGGATCACGCGTACAG